CGGCGGCGAGGCCCAGAGGGTGGGTGGGTGGGTGGAGGGACGCCGCGGGGGACACTGGGTGGACCTTTGCCTCCAGGCCCACAAGGAAGAGTCACGTGAGGGCATGGCCTGTGGAAAGCGATTGTCCACCGGTCCCCACCTCCCTGCCTCGCCCCATCCACTGAGGGGGGTGGGGGATCAGCTAGGAGCTTCAACATTCCTAAAGAGGGCACAGAGCCTTCCAGGAGTCCTAGAGGTGACTAGGTTTCCATATCAGCCTTCTTCAGAGGCAAGGACCCCATCTCTGGGGAAAGGGACCCAGGAGGCAAAGGGCTAGTCATTGGGCTTCTGGCCCTCAGTTTACCCTCAGCCCTGGAAGAGCTAGGCCAGCTGTCCCCCTCTGCACCCCAGGAGGCTCTGATTCTGAGCAAGGCTGGGACTGAGGGATAGATGAGCCTCCTACTCTTGAAGCTAATCTCCTGCTCCCAGTCCCCCCCACCTCTGTTATAGTAGCCCCCTTGGGCCCCAGGTTCCAACCCTGACAAAGGGGTCTTCAGCCCAGGGGGCGGTGGAGGTAGTGGTTAGCTGCCATCATCAAATTGGTTCCAGCTCATAGTGTACAACAGAAGGAAACACTGGCGCTTGAAACAGGTGCTCATCTTGTTTCTGAGTTTCCCAGTCAGGAGAGTCTAGGCAAATCACTTTCCTCCCTAAGCCTCAGTTTCCCCATCTGTCAAATGGGGGGGTGGGATTCTGTGAGGTCTGCCTTCTTCAGCCCCCACCCCCACCCCACCCCCAACATTCTGCCCTTCCTACTTGCCCTCTTCTCCTGATGAATGTCTGAAACCAAGTCGGGTGGTGATGCCTGCTGTACCCCAGCTGTGCCAAGGACCCTGAGTCGCTGCCCCTGCCCCCCACTGCACCAAGGGAAGGGCTCATGGTTCCATCAGGCAAATGAGAAAACTGAGGCATGGGGGTCCTGGCCCCACCTCCCAAGGAGCCCTCCTGGACTGAACCTCAGGGTATGCCTGTCAGCCGCCACCCCCCAACCACCACCCCTGGCCACTCAGTGATGCAGAGCCAGAAAGGACCCAGGGAGGGCTCTATTCCCCATTCTCCTCAGACTGGACAACCCAACCCAAGCTTTCAACCGAAACCCATCTCTCCTGCCCTCCCCAGCCCCCTGCTGAGCAGGAACTAAGTACTAGCTACTGAATGGATACCCTCTCTCCGACCCACACTGGAGGCTTATCTCGGTCACTACCTTCCTGGGCATTCCTCTGTCCCCTGAGCCACAGAGACTTCCTGTGGGGGGCAGTTCTGCCAGGTGACGGTATGGAGGAAGCAACAGGATTAGCTGAAAATGCCTTTTCCCAGACCCTGTTGGACCAAAACAACAACAAAAACACTGCCACTGTGAGTTCCGAATCTACAGCCCTGGTTGCACGTCGGGCTGCTCCCCCACCCGCGGCTCCATGAAAAACACTGGCTCTCTACTCCTGTAAAGAGTTAGTCTACAAAACCCACGGAGGCAGTTCTGTTGTGTCCTGGAGGGTCGCTTCGAGCATGAGTCTTGTTGGACCAGCCACGCCCAGTTTCCCAGGGGCGGAGGGGCTGGGAAGATGGTTAGACGACCTGCCCCCCCCTATGGACACCCTTTCCAGGGCCCGGGGGGCGGGGAGTGGCTCAGCTCCCAGCTACATCCTTTGTTCTGGGGGTCCAGGTCCTCTGATGATGGCTCGGTGCTGGTGGTGCGGCCATGTAAGCGTTGGACTGACAACTGCAAGGCCAGTGGTTCAAACCCACCAGCTGCTCCTGCGGTGAAAGATAAGGCTATCTGTTCCCATAGAGATTTAGAGCCTCCGAAACCTTATCTAGGATGACTGTGAGTTGGAGCCCAGAGGACCTAGCTACACGGTCAGATCTTCACATTCTCTGGCAGCTCCAGGGGAGAAAGATGAGGCTTTCTGGGCCGGTGAAGATTTACAGCCTTCAAAACCTCCAGGCAGTTCTACTCTGCCTTATAGGGTTGCCGTGAGTCAGAATTGACTCAGTGGCAGGGAGGTGAGTTGGAATGGCAGTGGGGAGGGGTGTCGGTCTGGACCAGTAGCCGGGAAAAGAGCCCAGAGGTGGTGCTGTTGAGGGCTTGGCCAATGGCAAGTCTGGTGGTTCAAACCCACCAGCCGCTCTGCAGGAGAAAGAAGAGGCTACCTACTCCTGCTACAGCCTTGGAAACCCTGTCCAGGGTCCCTTTGAGTCACAATGGACTCGATGACAGTGGGTGAGCTGCACCTTCAGCCCTCCACTAGGGCTCACCAGGCCTCTGTTTCCCCATCTGTCCAACGTAAGGGAACGCAGAAGTGGTGCTTTGGGACCAGGCCATGAGGGTCTCTCTTGTTCGCAGGGTGGACTCCTGAGACCAACACCACCCTCGCCTCCCCAGGGACACTGTTGGGGGCTCACAGGGTGAGACCCCTCCAGCTCCCTCCCTGGCTCTTGAGATTTGATGGGATTTGAAAGGTTAGGGGGCTGGAGAAGGCGGGAGTGCTGTGAGCTCTCTGGGAAATGCCTGGCACAGGGAACTGGGTCTCCCGGAGACTCTGGTGGGCAGGCAGGCATGTGAAGGGCCTAGGGCAGAGGGCATAGAGACAGACCACCCATTGTGCCCCAGGCAAAGCCGTGGGCAGCTGGTCCCAGCCCTCCGCCCCTGGCAGCCCAAATGACCTGCCCCTCATCCCCGCCTGCCCCTGCCTGCCCACAGCTGGAGGTCACCGTGGACCTGGCAGAGCGGCGACACATCCGCTCAGCCATTCGGGAGCTGCAGCGGCAGGAGCTGGAGCGCGAGGAAGAGGCCCTGGCATCAAAGCGCTTCCGGGCTGAGCGGCAGGACAACAAAGAGAACTGGCTGCAGTGAGTGGTGGGATGCTGGACGTGCCGCCGGGTGGGTGGCGGTGGTGTGCCAGGGCTCAGCCCCTGCCCGTGCATCTGCTGCCCGCCTGTGTGTGTGCACAGCAGTGCATGCTCGGCCAGGTGTACACAGCTACACACCCCTCTGCCAAGGGGCTGGGGCCATGCCCTGGCCCTAGCCTCCGCCCCTGGCCTCCATGCCCCATCCTGGCAGTGGTGGTCACAGGCATATGTCCCTGCAGCTCGAAGCAGCAGGAAGCCGAGCAGCGGGCAGCCCTGGCACGGCTGGCAGGGCAGCTGGAGTCCATCAGTGATGTGGAGGAGCTGACCGTGCTGGTGAGGCCCAGGCCCTGCGGGGCGTGGGGAACAGGGGCTGGGGAAGGCCCTGAACTCCCTCGTCCCAAGCCCGTGGCCCGCTTCTTACCCACAGCTGCGGGGTGCCGGTGAGTATGAGGAGCGTAAGCTGATCCGAGCCGCCATCCGTCGTGTTCGGGCCCAGGAGATTGAGGGTACGTGTCCTGGCCCCACCCCAGCCCCGCCGCCCACAGCACCCTCCCGGCCACTTGCCTGACACTTGCTCCTTCCCTCTAGCCGCCACCTTAGCTGGGAGGCTGTGCAGCGGGTGCTCCAGTGGGGGCGCCAGAGAGGACAGCAAGGGCCGGGCAGCACATAGGCTGGACCGGTGTGAGGTAAGGGGCACGGACGACCAGGGTGCCAGCAGCCCAGGGCCTGCGTGTCTTTCCTGGGTTGCTGTCTGACAGAGAGGGACTCTCACCTCTGGGACCCTATCATCTCAGACCTCTCTCTGCCAGCTGCCTCGGCCACCCCTGGCCACTCCCTTGCTCCAGACTCTCCGTCTCTACGGAGACTTTCTCCTCCATACCAGGCTGTCTGCACAGCGCCTGAGCTCCTGCCCAGTGCGACCGCCCTTGCCATATAGCAGGCTCCCTGCTGACCCCTGCCTCGGCCACCCACCCCAGCCTCTCTCCTCCATTCATCAGCCAGAGGGCTCTCTGAAATGCACATCTGACCCTGGTGCCACGCCTGCTTAACCCCCTGGGAGGCGGCCCTCACCTTCCAGGTACACAACCCAGGTCCCACTTTGACTTCTCGGGGGTCTGTATGGCAGGCCCCAAAGGAGCCCTAGTGGCACTGGGCTGCCAGCCGAAAGAAAGGTCATTGGTTCAAAGCCAGCAGCTGCTCCTTGGGAGAAAGAGGAAGCTTTTTCTTCACATAAAGAATTACAGCCTCCGAAACTCACAGGGCAGTTGTAGCCACCCCTGTAGGGCTGTGACGAGTTGGAATCGACTTAATAGCAGTGAGGTTTTGAGGAGGGGTGGCAGGCCCTCGCTGACCTTCAGAACACCTGTTCACAGAAAGCACTCCCAGGGAGAGCCTGGTTTGAGCTGGGTGTCTGTCCCGGGTGGGGGTAGGGTGCTGTGCAGTCTGAGGCTTGAGTGGTCCAGGCCATTCCCTAAGTGGCCAGCAGAGGCTGCTAGACCCTTGGTTCTGGCAAGACCTTTCCTGGAGTTCCTCCTGGACCAGAGGCCTCGGCCCCAGGGCTTTATCCAGGCCGGGAGCCCCCAGCAGGTCTCCTGCCTTTCCCAACTCTTGGACCTGGAAAGCAGAGTCCTTTCTGAGCCGCTCAGTTAGGTAATGCCAGGAGGGCGAGAAAATGGGCGCAGGGATACCTGTCACACACCATTGACCATGCCCATGCAGGTGCACCCAGGAAGCCATATCCAGCCCTGCTTTGCATGCCCTGCCCTGGGTGCCTTGTGGCCTGGCCCTTCATGGCTGGGGAGCTTCGGTTACATCCTATGGATGCCACACAGGTGCCAGAGCAAGAGGAGCAGGAGCAGCAGGTGGGGGCCCCAGAGCCAGCCCCCACCCCTGAGGGTACCAGCCAGGATGTGACCACAGTGACACTCCTGCTACGGGTCCCTTCCGAGGATACGCCCAGCTCGCCGACCTTACCCAGCTCACCAACTGCTGCCTCCCCTGAACCTGTCCTGGAGCCTGCTGAGGCCCTGTGTCCTGCTGTTGAGGCTCTGGGCAGCCCTGAGCCCCCTAGCCCACCTGGGAACACCAGTCCAGAACCCCAGGAGCTGCCAGCTCCACCCAGCTCTGAGAGACAGATTGCCCCCAAGGTGAGTCTGGTCAGGGGCCGGGGATGCCAGGGGAGGGGGCTTCTTGGTCTGGGAGTCAAGGCCCTGCCAATGTCATGTCTTCCCTGCAGCTCCCCCCTGGCCCTTCCGAGCCCCCCGCTGACCAAGGCCACAACAGAAGCTCCTCTGACACAAAGAAAGCAGGTGAGGGTCCTGCCAGGTGTACTCCAGGCACCTGCCTTCCAGGTCCCTACCTGGAGAATAGACGTTTGCACCTAGGCAGTTCCAGCCCCCTCAGGTCCAGGCAGGCTCTGACACTCCCCCCACCCCCACTGCCCCTGAGGTATCCCTGGCCAGCCCCCCCCTACCCCCCACGGCCAGAGGCCTCCCCACCGCCTTGAAAGGCAACGGGCCTCAGGCACATTCTTCTCCCCAATAAGGGAGTGCACCCATCTCCAGGCTGGAGCTGTGGGCAGCACTGGCCAGGGGGTGTCCCCCATACCCCTCTGGAGGGAGGCTGTGGGTACTCTCCCTTCAGCCCAACTCTCACCCTGGCCTCAGAGAGTGTCCAGATCACCGTGGGGCATGGGGCAGTGGGGGGAGGAATTTTGTGCCTACAAGAGATGTAGCTGGGTGAGGAGGCCAGGGAGTGTGAGGGCGAGAGACTGGAGAGGCTTGCAAGGCTGTGGGGCATGCAGGGAGGGCCAAGAAGCTAGGGAGGTGAGGAGTGGGGACATAGCCTTCCCCCAGGTGAACTCTTCCTTTTACTTCCCCTTTTCTTCCCTCACACGGCCATTACCCCCTCCCCAACCTGCCAGACCTAGCTGGACCCCGTCTCTGCCAACGCTCCCTGTCCGTGCTCAGCCCCCGCCAGCCAGTCCAGAACCGAGGTACTGCCTGGTCCCACTCCCCTCCCCCAGGACCTGACCAGTCTTTGGCCCACCCAACCACTGACAGCCCGCCTGTCCTTTTCTAGAGCTCACCCCCCTAGCCAGCGGACCTTCCCCATTCCAGCGGGCTGCCTCGGTTCGGGACCGCGTCCGCAAGTTCACATCCGATTCTCCCATGGCTGCCGGGCTCCAGGATGGGCCACCCCGGGCAGCTCTCAGCACCCAGAGCCCCGCAAGGCTCGTGGGCCCCTCCCTCATGAGCACCACCCCTGCCTCCTCCTCCAGCAACTCCTCTTCAAGGGGGGCCAGTGACACCTCCTCCCCACTCATCAAGGAGCGGCCAGGAGTTACCCAGCCCCGGACCTTGCTCCGGAGCTGCCCCCAGGAGGAGGGCCCCAGAGGGCGGGGCCTGGCTGCCAGGCCCCTTGAAAACGAAGCAGGGGGGCCTGCCAAGCACTCAGAGGAGCCCAGCGCCCCACTGACTCTGGCCACCGGCACTGCTGAGCCAGGGGGCAGCATGAAGACCACATTCACCATCGAGATCAAGGATGGCCGTGGCCAGGCTGCTACAGGCAGGGTGCTGCTGCCCACCAGCGGTCAGAGGGCAGGTAGGCCTTCCCACTGCTGGCCGGGGTGCCTGCAGCCACCCCACCCTGCAGAAGAGCCAGGGACTGTGGCCGGAGTTCAGAGTGTCGCCAAGGGTGCCCTGGGCTGAGGGCACCATCAACGTGAGCTGGCCCTGGTGTGCTCCTGACAGCACCCTCTCTCCCCCAGAGGTGAGGCTGCAAGCAACCCCCTCCCTCCTCAGCAGCAGCAGCGGGGGCACAAGCACAGTCACCCATGTCCGAGGCCCTGGGACCCTGGCGCAGCTGGGCAGCATCACTCATGTCACCAGCTTCAGCCATGCCTCCCCTGGTGGCCGAGAAGGCTGCAGAATTAAGGTGAGCCCTCTTCACTCTCTAGCCCAATGGTTCTCAACCTTCCTCATGCCTCGACCCTTTCTTACAGCTCATATTGTGGTGACCCCCCCAACCATAAGATTATTTTCATTGCTACTTCATCACTGTCATTTTGCTACTGTTATGATTGGGTGACCCCTGTGAAAGAGTCGTTCGACCCCCAAAGGGGTGGCAACCCACAGGTTGAGAATCGCTAGCGTCTAGCCTCTCCACCCATCCACTCGCCCACACTGCTTGGGGATGCATGGTTGGCAGGCGTCCCCGGCGCCTCAAATGGATGAGCCTCTGGGCAGTGTCAGGAGCTCACTCTAATCGTCTGCCCTGATCTCTGGTCCATACTCCAGAATCGATTGGGTCCTTCCTACTAAACAGATAGGAAAACTCAGGCTCCAGAAGCAGTAGGCGCTTGCCCTCGCTGGCCCCTGCCCCTAGCTTAAAATGGCCATCAGCCGGAGGCTCAGAGCAGCTCACCTGTTCACCCAAGATCAACCTGTTGCTGCAGGAGACGGGAGATTAGCGATTAGCATCTGCATCAACTTCCCTGTGGCATCAGAAGCACCGGGTGGTG